CCACTCTGCCCCCACTCTCTGGAACTCCACCCCGCAGTCCCTCCTCCTCGTCCCCTCCTCAAGACCTGTCTCAAGACCCTCCTCTTCGACCTCGCCTTCGGTCACCCTCCGTCCCCCCTCCACCCCGATCCCGACCCCCAGCTCGGGTACGAAACACTGATTGTCCAGCACCTGACGTGAAGGGCGGTATACATGTGTCATTTTGTTGTTGTTGTATTGTAGTATTCAACAACAACAACAGCTTGTATTTATATAGTCCCTTCACTCAAGGTAGTGTCTCGGAGTGCTTATTCTATAGCAAAGTCTGTTGGTATAATATAAGGCACTATATCAAATGCAAGGATTATTATTATCATGTGGTGCTGCAAATATATCATTACTGTATATATCGGGCAGGGCGAAACGTCGGGTAGGTTTCCTTACTCCACACGCCTCTGTTTACCGAGCAGTAAGTAGGAACCTGGTTAGTCGATTGACGGATCACTTTTCCGGGGGGGTAACAATCCCTCAAAATAAAAAATAATAATAATTTGGTCACTCAATCCATGACTGATTGTGGGACACTGCTGTGCGCAATTGACTGCCGCGTTTCGCCCACAAAAAGACACAGTCGATCCACTTTATAGAATATCCTGTGAAGCCCTTTGAGATGCCCCAACGATGTGATAAGGCGCTACATCAAATGCAAGGATAATTATTATTATTATTTTCCCTTCAACGAAATTGATGTGTTATTCTGTGTTGCCTCTGCAGGGTGCTGTGGAGTTGCAGTAACCAGGGTTAATCTGTGAACACTGCTGCCATTTGTGCTTTGGTCTGTCTACACTTCCTCTCTTACAAATGGACTGCATTGAAATATTGTTTGTATATTGTTTTTAACAGGAAACCTCCAATTATTGACATAAGATCACTTTCTCACAGCCGTATGAAAGTCAATGTCAAAATCGACAGACACAGTTGTTACACAGTGAGGAAAAAGTCAATCTAATTCGAAGCACTTTATTTTATTGACACTTATCAATTAAGGTTATTTACGCATAACTTTAATTGATAAGTTTCCGTGTTTCTCAACTTTTCCTTAAATAATAATAACCCTCGCATTTGATATAGCGCCTTGTCACTTCTTCGAGACGTCTCAAAGCGCTTCACAGAATATACTGAAGTGAAGTGAATTGACTGTATATTTCGTGGGCGAAATGCGGCACCGAAGAGAAGCTTCACTGAGTGCAGGTGAGCAGGAGATGCATTTCATGGCACTGATGGATTGCCGGGCTTCAAATAAATTCATAAAATAAATACATTTTTTATATGAACTCTTTATTCCTTTCCCTCCAATGATTTTCCTATCCAATACACCGTTGTGAACCAAACAGACAGGCGGGCAACCTGCTTTAGATCTTACTATACACACGACATCAGGCCAGGCTGGAAGAGATGAAATAATAATAATATTTCTGCTGGCCTTCTCCTGCGTTCAGTGATGTTTCTCTTTAAGGAAAGCTTGAGAAAGTCTCCGTGATGAACACGAGAACTCATAAATAAATAATAAAATAATCCTTGCATTTGATATAGCGCTTTTCACGTCGGGAGGACGTCCCAAAGCGCTTCACAGAACACACTGTAAAGTGAATTGACTATATATTTTTTGTGGGCGAACGCGGCAGCCAATTGCGCACAGCAACAACAACAACAACAACAAGATTCCATTTATAGAGCGCCTTTCACGTCAGGAGGACGTCCCAAGGCGCTGCACAGTTGGGTCATGACCCGAGCAGGGGGGAAATGGTCAGGGTGAGGGGAGGGAAGGGAGGGAGAGAGGAGGGGGAAATGGTCAGGGTGAGGGAGGGAAGGGAGGGAGCGAGGAGGAGGAAGAGAGTCGAGAGGGGAGCTGAAGACTCGGTCAAAGAGAAAGGTTTTGAGACCGGCCTTGAAGGAGGAAAGGGAGGAAGCAAGGCGAAGGCACTGGGGGATGGAGTTCCAGAGCCTCGGGGCTGAGAGGCTGAAGGCCGACCACCGATAGTAGGGGGTTGGGCCGGGGGACGTGGAGCAGACCGGAGCCAGAGGAACGGAGGGTACGGGCAGGTAGGTAGGGGGATAGTAGGTTGGAGAGGTAGGAGGGAGCAAGGCCGTGAATGGCCTTGTAGGTGAGGATGAGGATCTTGAAATCAATCCTCTGGGGGATGGGGAGCCAGTGGAGGCGAGCGAGGGTAGGAGTGATGTGGTCCCGAAGCCTGGTGCGGGACAGTACACGAGCTGCAGAGTTCTGAATGACCTGCAGCTTGTGGAGGGAGGTGGCGGGAAGGCCGGCGAGGAGAGAGTTCCCATAGTCCAGCCTTGAGGTGACAAAGGCGTGAACCAGGGTTTCAGCAGCGTGAGGGGTGAGGTAGTGCCGTAATCTGGCGATATTCCGGGACACAGCAATGTCCCACAAACAGTCGTAGATTGAAAATGACCAATTTATTATTGTTCATCACCGAAAATGATAGGCATTAAGAGCTTCACATAGAGTTTGTAGAATTAGTTTGTGCTTCGATTACGAAATTTAAGAAAATTAGACAAAGAGCGCACCAAAATGGGACTTTGCTGAATTTTGAGCCCAAAGCCTGGGTTGGGAGCTGAACCAAGATGAGTTTGCAGGTGTGGGATACGTACAGAGAGGAAGGGAAACAATAATAAAATGGGAAACACGATAATCAGAAATTAGAATATTTTAATGCTCACATAAGAAATATTTGGCGACCAATCTAAATTCTCCTGCTCCCTGTCAGATTTGAACACGGTGCTAACTTTTCTTTTGAGTCGAACTGTTCGTACCGAAGTTAGCAGAAATCCGTGTAAACAGAGGACACTAATTAACCGTTTGGGATTTGGGCATCTCTTATTGAGGGCAAGTGCCAAAATGCAATTTTGTTCCAACACTGCGAAGCTGAGCAGGGATGGGTCATATTGCAATAGAGCCGGACTGTGTAGGGCTGTAAGTGAATAACACTTTAATTCGGCGTTTAATTCAGTGTTGCTCATTACTGTTTTCTCAAGGGCCACAGTTCGAAATGAGAACAGGACTGGAGGAGATTAGAGAGATTGGAGGACGGAGAAGAGGGTGAAGGATAAGTGATATTGTCTCATGCGCTATGACCTTGTCAGCCAATCCTCACTTGTTCAATTGCCTCTCTCGGGAACGCTGTACGGAATGATGGGGACCTGAATCTACGCTCACGTTCACCCGCAGCGAGCTCCTGACTTCAATTATTCCAAGATGGATTGTTGCCAAGAAGAGATCTTACACTTGCCCACAGAGAGCCGGGGAGGGGGATGCCGGGCTGATGGTTCTATTACAGCTGTAGGTTCCATAGCTTGAAAGGAATATTTTCGGTTTCTCTATGAGTGATGGATAAGCCGCGACTGGAGAAAACATGAGGAATCAATGCTGTATCTTAGTCCTGGCAACCATCCTAACGATAATATAGTATAGCACCCTTTCACGTTGTTGAGACGTTTCAAAGGACTTCACAGAATATAGTATTGTATATACATTTGTAAGCGCCTTTCACTTCGGGAGGATGTCCCAAGGCGCTGGACAGTCAGGGATTTGTAAATTGTAAATATACTGTAAAGTGTAATGACTGTGCGTTTTGTGGGTGAAACGCGGCAGCCAATTGCGCACAGCAGTGTCCCACAGACAGTCGTAGATTGAGTAACCAAATTATTATTTTTTTTGAGGGATTATTACCCTCGGAAAGCGATCCGCCAGTCGACTATCAAACGGATTCCTACTTATCTTTAGGTAAACAGAGGCGTGTGGAGTCAAGAAACTTGCCTAAGGTTTCACTCTACCGGGAATTGAACCCGGGTCATCTTGTTTGCGAGGCGATTGCTCTAACTGAGCTGCAGGACTCCATGTCTTGGGAAATTGCCGCAACCAGCCTTATTTTGTAATCAAATTGAACAATACTTTGGCCAACTGCAGTTAGTAACAAGAATATCACTCCATGTTAGATAATGGGCATTGCCGAGCACGGAGTGGCTGATAGCACGTACTGTAGTGTCACCACATACTTCATGCTCTTCACAGCAGAGGCACAATCTGTGGGTCAAAGTTTAGGAATTTATAACCGAAGGGGATAAAAATTGATCTTGTGCCAAATATTACCCAACTATTATTTAGTTAGCAATATCCGTGCTTCCGAAAAGTCCTGTATCACTAACTAATTTGAGCCGGTAACCCAGGCATTGCAGTCCAATTATGAGGAAGATATTTGTACGACTTCTCTTATTCTTGTTCCGGTGATTAAGGCGAATGATTGTCACCCGCGTTTCGCCCACAAATAAACGGCCAATTCACTTTACAGTATATTCTGTGAAGCGCTTTGAGACGTCGAGAAGACGTGAAAAACGCTATATCAAATGCACGGATTATTATTATTGTTATTGGTATTATTATTATTGTTGTTATTGTTATTATTATTAATGTTATTATTATTATTGTTATTATTATTGTTATTATTATTATTATTATTATTGTTATTGTTATTATTATTGGCTTCAGAAGGACTTTCTTATCAGTTGGCTGTAATGTGGACTGACAGCTGCGCTTTGCCTGGTGGCCTGTGCGAGGCGCTGCAGAGCCACATTCCGCCTTCGCCCCTCCCCCTCCCGCCCCCTCGACCCGTCACTCACTGGTCACGTGGCCGCGGGAAGGCGGAGCGAGGGGGGGGAGCAGCAGGAGTGGCCCGCCCACCGCGCTTGACGCGACACGTGATTGGTGAACACGGCTGTCCATCAGGGTCTGATTCCCTCCGCCCCGCCCCCCCCCTCCCGTCCATCAGGTCGTGCGTGAAGGGGCGGGAGGATCCGTGCACGCGGCTCCTGATTGGTGCGAGCGGGTTGTCCATCAGAGCGCGGGGGGGCGGAGGGCGGGGCCCTGCTGCTCCGCCCCCTATTGGAGCGGTGGGCGCGGTCTGTGTGAGTGTGAGTGACGGGAGGCGGTCCCGCAGCGGGAGCGGCGCCGACATCACAACAACAACAGTGACAGGAACTGGAGCGGCAACTGGAGCGGCGGTGGCGGCGGACGACGAGGAGGAGGAGGACGAGGAGTGCCACAGCCGCCCGAGAAAGTTCCATTCCTTCGCTCCAGAGCTCCCGCCAATGGAAGCCACCGAGCGCGAGAGGCGGGGAGCAGCCGGGAGTCGGCGCGCGGCGGGGCCGGGCCGGGCCAGTGCGACCGTTGGTGAGCGGCCACAGTGCAGCTCGCGCTCTGACGGTTTGTTCCTCCCCCCCCACTCCCCCCCCCCCCGGGGTTTCCCCCCCTCACCCTCACCCTCTCCCTCTCCCTCTCCCTCCCCCCTCTCCCCCCCCCCCCCCGAGGCGGCCCTCAGGAGGACGGGGTGGGGTGTGGGGGGGCAGAGTCTGCGTGTTGGGGGGGGTGTGAGGACCCCAGAGAGGCCCCGAGTGAGTTAGTGGAGTCAGTGTAAAGAGGTAAAGAGTTCATTGTCTCCCCCCCCCCACCCCCCCACCCTCTCTCCCCCCCACCTCCCCCCCCCTCTCTCCCCCCCACCTCCCCCTCCTCTCCCCCCCCGTGTCCCCCTCCTTCCCCCCCGTGTCCCCCTCCTCCCCCCCACCCCCCCTCCCCTCCCCCACTCTCCACCTCCCCCTCCCTCTCTCCCCCACCTCCCCCTCCGTGTCCCCCTCCTCCCCCCCGTGTCCCCCTCCTCCCCCCACCCCCTCCTTCCCCCCTTCCTCCCCCCTGTCCCCCTCCATCCCCCCTCCTCCCCTCCTCTCCCCCTGTCCCCCTCCTTCCTCCCCCTGTCCCCCTCCTTCCTCCCCCCTGTCCCCTCCTTCCTCCCCCCTGTCCCCCTCCTTCCTCCCCCCCTCCCCCTCCTTCCTCCCCCTGTCCCCCTCCTTCCTCCCCCCTGTCCCCTCCTTCCTCCCCCCCCCTCCTTCCTCCCCCCTGTCCCCTTCCTCCCCCCTGTCCCCTCCTTCCTCCCCCCTGTCCCCCTCCTTCCTCCCCCCTGTCCCCCTCCTTCCTCCCCCTCTGAAGACTTGTGTCAGTTGCGGTTAGGAATTGCATTAGGTTCATATCCGTATCTTTGCATCGAGTTGCTTTCTGGGTCCTGTCAAGGAATGGTTCTGTTTGCTTCACTCTACTCTGTGGCAAGGACAGTGGAGCTCGGCCGACGTTTGTTTGTGGTGCTGGTTGTGCACCTCTGTTTTGCGCGCTGGGTTGTTCCCGGTTGCAGCAACAAGAGATTCTCCCAACATTGGTATGTTCGTTTCTTGTCGCTACCATTTTAAAGGTCCACAAGTCAAAGAACATATTACTTACTGCCAGTGAAGGAAATGTCTGAATTGAGAATATAAGAATCGTATTACTCATATTATGAGGTTGGTCCACGATATACGCAGTCACTCCACTTTGCAATATATTGCTTGAAGCACTTTGAGACGTTCTCGAAGACGTGATCAGGCGGGATATCAAATGCAAGGATTATTTATTGTTATAAGTTCTGAAAGTGACCATTGCGTTGTAGCTATAGTACAATCCCTGCCCACGCCCACCCTGCCATGTCGGGAATTCTTTAATGCATTGAGAAACGTTTGTGCAATCGTAGATCGTTGAAAGATAAAGTTCTTGGCAGGACGGATGATTGGTTTCAAATCTGCAATGTGTCACCCACTTCAAACAAGGATTCCTGTGTTCCAGTATTGAGCAGAGTTTGGGAGATACTTTTATGAGATGTTCGTTTTTGCTGAGGGACGGAAGAAGAAAACTTTTTTTTTAACTGTTATACAAAAATAGAACTCGTAAGGGATGGTTCCTTTCGCTATATTGCAATGGCCAATTTCAGAATGCATATGACTCAGATGCACTACAGGCAAAAGTACAAAACATTCCCTTCTGACACGTTGGTTATTCTAATGCAGCATGTTGAGTGGTTTCAATGTCATTCAACCCTCTCAATTAGGGTATTTCCTTTGCTGCCTTTTACTTGCGGACCTTTAGCAGTCAGTTTGAGTGTACACCCAGACATGTGAATTCACATACAGCACTGGCATACAATCTCAAGAGAAAGTTGTTACTGTTTTGAACTATCGGTCCACAAGTCAACCTGCACAAAATACAATACTCTCTAGAATTAGGTAAGCATGCCTCCCCCCAGGGAAAGAGGGTGAATTCTATTCCACACACCAAAATTTCCATCGGTAGCTGGAATGCCTATGTGGATCTTTGATTTGGATACTTTTAAACCTGATGGTTGTATTTTGCCTGTGTCGGATACTGTCTTGACCAAACAAATCTACATTGAATTCTGTACCATCCTTCGCAACATCGCTTAAGGAGTTTTGATCTATTATTAGTATTTAAATTCATTTAATTTTAAATGTGTTGTGGAGCTGCTTAAATGCATTACTATCACGATTGTAAATTGATGTGTTACTATATTTAAATGGAACCTGATAAAATCTGCCTTGATTTTAAAATGGTCATTATGTGGCTTCAGTATATGTTTCAGAAGCATTGTATAGTGTTAGTTGTTCGTCCTAAGTGCTATTGTCTAGAAATGTAGTACAAATGTGAGGGTGAATAATGATCACAGGACAGTTTCAGTATTTCCATAGCTATAGGTTGACTGACGTTTTTGTAATTACAAGGAATTTCCATGCATGCAGAAGACGCATCTAACCATGATGTACTGTACATCCCCATGTGAAACTGACAGAATGACTCATGAGTTGTGAATTTTTGTTGGGGTTTATAATCAGACACTAGCAAAAACCTTTGTTGGTTCACACTGAAGTATGGTGATTGCATGTGTTAAATATCCAGCTGACCAAAACAAAATGTGCATGCGGAAAGACAACCTTAATCAATCTCACTGGACGAAATTATTGAATGGTTTGTTTAAATATTGTAAATAATTCTCTCCTTATCCAGTTCTGTGAAGCGCTTTGGGACGTCCTTCCGATGTGAAAAGCGCTATATCAAATGCAAGGATTATTATTATTATTATTATTTTGTTCACATCTTCTTACTGTGGTTCCGTTGGTTGTCTTTCAGATGGTGTTAAACCACACTCTTGGCAGTGGGCTGGTACTCAGCCAAGGTCATCAGCCAAGTTGCTGATGAAAGTGGGAAATAGAGTTGAGCTTCTATAATAATAATATCAATATTTCTTTGAGCAGCTCATGTCCCTATTGAGCTAAAATGTTTAATGTTGAAAGTTAATTTATCAGAATTTGATAAATGACGAAAGACGTGGGCGAAGAGGATAGTCTTGAGAGTTCAAGACAATAAAATTAATTGCTGTCTTTTCCAAATACCAGATGACGTGTCTTATTCATCTTATTTTTCTCAAAATGTTACTTCGTTTGTAACAATTCTGAGAAATTACTTTGAACTAAACCCAACCAAGTTATTGAAGTCAGTGAAATGCTAGACTGCATCCAAACTTGTGGTGTGTGTGTGTGTGTGGTCTCATCTTAATTTGAGCTGTTTTTGAAAAACAATTTAAAATCAAAAAATTAAACCAAACATCCTGTTAAGTTGCAAATGAGTTATATAAACAAATTTCTTTGTTAGAACTTTAGTCCACACAGCCAGGTTTCGCTGACTGTTAAAGCCAATTGCACTCAACTGTCAAAATAGTATCTTTTAGTTTGGAATCGCTCATTGTTATGATTCTTAAGATTAAACATTATTGTTCAAGGATGCTGCTGTACATTAATTGGCTTTTTTGAAACCTAAATGTTTCTTCTGACGTGAAAGGTATTATACGAATGTAAATTTCTTGTTGTTGGGTTATTGTTTGACAACGTTTAGCAATTGGTCCAATTGTTTTGGTTAAATGACCACTATGTCTCACTTATTGAATTACCTGGTGATGTGGCTTAATTTAAAAAATAACTCATTTATATACAGAAATCGTAATCTTGACCCATCACCGCATGGGCACGTACTGCCTGCATTGAATTATGCAGTGTAGATTATTGACTAAATCAGATATTATACAGTTTACCTTCAACTTTGACTTTGTATGTCATATTAACTGTTATGGTCCCGACTGATACAACTTCAATGGTTTTACTGTAGTGACTCATGTAAGATAAACTTCCCAGATGTTTTACAAAATTTAATTTATAAATTAAAGTCAATGTTTTGTAGGCAAATGGGTATGTACCCAAGAACCATTTGCCTTCCTGCTCATCTCTGAGTATCCGCTTTATGTTAGCTTTTGATTCGATAGCTCCAGCAGTAATATCACATTGCATTTTGTTCAAACTGAAAACCCTGTAAACAATTCTCGCAATTGTGTTGCTACAGAATTCCGATGGCATTGCAGAAATTTAGTGCATTTCCTGACCCAAAATAATTGGAGGTGGCTAGTTTGAAAATTTGCACGTAGGAAGCAGTGTTGAAATAATCTTGCATCCTTAATGCCGATTGATATGCTATTAACTTAATTTATACCTCCTTATACTGATGCTTGTGCATTTAGTAAATGCACTGTACTGCATTTATATTTGGCTTCAACATAGTCCTCAAAGAGCAGAGCTGCTGGGTTGATTGAAGAAGCTGTTTGTTTTATAATAATAATCCCTGGATTTCATATAGCACCTTATCACGTCTTCGAGACGTCTCAAAGCACTTCACAGAACACTGAATAGTTTGTGAGCGAATCGCAGAAGCCAATTGCACACAGCAGTGTCTCACAAACAGTTGTGGATTGAATGACCAAATTTTTTTAAAAAATGATTATAACCCCCAGAAAAGTGATCTGCCAATCGACTGACAACCGGATTCCTATTTACTGTTAGGTGAGGCGTGTGGAGGAAGGAAACTTGCCTAATGTTTCACTCTGCCAGGCCCTCTCCTTTGCGAGGCGAGTGCTCTAACAACTACGTTACAGAACTCCACAAGGCAACCATTCACGGGGAAACATAAGGAACACACCTGAAAATCCCTAGTATGTGTACACCAAATTAATTACAAGGTTGACCATCACAGTTCCATACATCACTTAACAGGACAGTTTTAGCATCAGTTTTATGATGCGGCCGTATACCTTTCACAATTTTCTGCCTATTTTTAGGACCTTAACAACCAAGTGTTATATAAGTCTTATATGCTTTATAAGCTGAGTGCCTTTTTAATACCTTACTTTTGGCTTGTGAACACAAATACTGTATCTAACTTTAAACCTGAGAATACAGTTTTATTAGTAGCATTTTGTGGTTCATTATATCCTTAATGTTGAACGTATCAAGTCTGTAGTAGGCACTCTATATAAACTGTTTGCTTACTTTGCTGCTCAAGTGTGTTGCTGTACTTTCAAGATTTGGTATTAAAGGTTTTCCAAGGAGGTAGCTGAATATTGCAGTATTGCCACTGAGGAAAAGTACATGTGTATTTTGGGTTGGGACAGGGTAACATTTGGCTAACATGTGGTTAAATAGCTCAAATAGCCTGCTGATGTTCACTGTCCAGCTTTCCGTGAGGGTGTTGGGGGAGTGAAGGGGAGAAGATGAATTGGAGGAAACATTTGGAGGAGAAAATGTACAATGGTTGTTTTAGATGTTATAATGAATCGTGCTGTAAAATATCATTCATTCAGCTATCAGCTTCTAGTGAAATGCAAATTCCACTGTACAGAAGTTTAAACCGGAAATGTTGATGAGTATATAGGCCACTCTGTTTTCAGTTGTCATCTCCTCATTGCAGCTTGTGAATTCGGCAACTAAGAGCTTTGATGCTGTTTGGGGAAATTGATTTTTCTGTAGTGCCTCAAGTTAGAAAATAAATCTTGAAACATCTGAGGAATTATTCCAACAGAAGACTGTAATGTTAACTTTACATGTCTTCAGCAGAAGAATGAAAGTGCTTCAAAATCATTATCTGCCCCAAGTTTTGCACTGCTTAATCAGCAGTATGGTACCTGTTTATGAGCTCTGCAAAGTTGTAAACTCACCACAAAGTAAAATCTTAAAATAAAAATATCATACAAATGTGAATATTTATACATCCATAAAATTTGAATGTTACAGTGCTTAGCTCCTTACAATATCCACTTTTAACAGCTGTGGAAATGCTATGTATGGTTTGGTCTACAAGGGCAAATGTTTAGTTGACAGTGCAATTGTTTCTGTTTTTTTGTTGTTGTTGAAAAGGAGTTTATCTTTTCCTCTTGGGCATCTGGTGTGCATGTATTGCACACTATTCTTAGCTGAGAATGATGGGCAGGCAACATGCACTCATTCTTTGTATTTATTTGCTATTTATATTTTTAAAGTAAATAGTTCCTATTTTGAGGCACATTGAAATGATTGCACATCCAGAAGGCCCCTAAGGCAATAAGTGTACATAGAAGCTTATTGTTAAAATAATCCTGTTGTTCACTCTGCATGTCGCACAATCACAAAATTGTATTTGTTTACTTCCAAATTGAACTAAATTGAGCTGGAATAGCTTATGAATAGAAGTGTAGTTAATGAATGGTCTATGTCCTGATAATTCTTAATTATCAAGATCCTGTGCCACTTATCGAAAAAAGCAGGAGTTTTTCCTGGTGTCCTGGCCAACAATCCCCCAAATAAAAATTGACATTCACTTCATGGCTGTTTGTGGGACATAGATGTGTGAACGTTGGCTGCTGTGTTTGCCTACAAAATACAATCACTACATTTTACAGAAAATCTTGCAAAGTGCTTTGAGGTGTCCTCCTGATGTGAAAGGTTCCACATGAAATGCATTATCATAATAGTGCAAGATCAGCAATCTAAAGAAAAAAGTCATATTATGATGATACATTTTCTTCAGAAGTTGTTCTGCATAGTATGTATTGATTTTTGAGAACATTTGCCCGCCTGCTGTATACAGTCCTTGACATCTTTAAAAGTACACATCAGATGACAGAAATAGTTCTTGGTTATTTTCCAAGCAGTAACATTTACTTTGCAACACTTGGAGCCATTGCCAAATACTAGTTACTTCTGACAGGGCTTGAGGCACTGACACGAAAAAAACTTGACTTTCTTGGCAACGCCAACAGTGACAATCTGTGAAATAGCCAAATAAATATACGATTTGGTACAAATCCACTTGTTAATTCATATTGGTCCAAAACATGAGTAATTTGTAAAACAGTCCAAATTTTAAAGAAGCAAATTGATTTCTTATATTTTTATTTATGCTATTTCAATTGTTGGTATTTTGCTTTTGATATGTTGGACAAATAGGTACAAAGTGTATCCAAACATTCAGGGCAGGTTTTGAGTCAACTGTTGAAGGAATACGTTTATAGCGTTGATGCATCTTGTTACATCCCTTGTGGAGCACTGCCACATCTCAGCTTGGCCCTTCCTCCTCATGGAATAAACATGTGCACACATGTGCCCCCATACTCCACTGCACACATTACTACCTAAAATCTTAATGAAGTGAAATGTGAGTTCAAAGCAGAAGCTTTCTTTAATGATGGTTTTGTACAGTTTACTGGAAATTACTCAGTTAGGGAACCTATATGAGAAATGGAAAGGCCGTGCAATTCTTGGGATGAGTCTCAAGGATTTTGTGAGAAATTTTGGATTGCGTCTAACCTGGTGCTATCTAATGCCAAGGTTCTATGTGAAGAGGATCATTTTCTGTTTTGTAAATCCTCTTATTAGTTTGATATTCACATAAATCCCCAAACAGTTGTTACAAAGAGTATAAACTGGATCCAAATATTATTTACCTGGTTGAATTAGAATTGAGGACACAGCTTCAAGCTCAGAAAGGGGAAAATAACCTGATAATTAAGATAGAGGGTGGTAAATCTTTGGGAGAGACTTTTAGGGAGGTAGAGAAAGATTGTGCCATCAAATTCAAGAGAGAACTAGATAGCTATTGGGTGAATAATTTAAATTGAGCGATATGTGAGATAGGTTTGTTTACAATAAATTTAAGTCAGCCAGAAGGGCTGCTGTGGTCGTTTCTATATTCACATGGGTTGTTGACTGGTCAATATAAAAATAATTTTGAGAAACACTGCATTGACGTACATTATTGTTATATAATAATAATCCCTGCATTTGATATAATGCCTTATCACATCTTCGAGATGTCTCAAAGCACTTTAAAAAATACACTGTAAAGTGAGTTTTGTGGGAGAAACGCGGCAGCCAATTGAGCACAGCAGTGCCCCACACAAACTCAACAGTGACAATCTGTGATACATATATAGTAACTAAAATTGTGAAATATATTATAACTAAAATTGTTGGGCATAATGACTTGCTTTGGCGTATAACAACAACTTTTAAAGCTCAAGCAACCTTTCTGATTTACTGTAGATTTTACAAATGATTAACTTTAGATTTTTATGGTATTAGAACTTTACTGATTGTCTCTTCTTCCTATTCAGGTTTAGAGTGAAACTGACTTGTCAAAGAATTCAGGATACAAAAATGTGAAAGACAGATTTTTTTTCTCTGAAGTGTTTGCAATGGATCGAAACAAGAGGAATTCGATAGCTGGTTTTCCATCAAGATTTGAACGTTTGGATGATTTTGATGGCAATGGAGAAGGTGGTGTTGCTCACTCAGGAAGAGCGTGTCTTTCATCTTACAGAGCCTTGAGTAGTGCTGTGTCCAGACTTACTAGGCTTGATGACTTCACATGCGAAAAAATAGGGACTGGGTTCTTCTCTGAAGTCTACAAGGTTAGTTTCTAAACAGCATTGACCTCATATAACCTCAGAAACATGCGATTTCCTTTTTTTTAATATAAACTCTTCCTATTCACGTTGCTTCCGTGCAATCGTTTGCTTCAGTGTGAAGTTTTGTTTATTAGAGATTTGAAGCACAGTTTCTTCCTTCTCACTCCCTCTCAAAAGTATCTTCATTTTCTGTGACCAGTACAAATGGCATTTGCTTTCCTAAGCAGTTTTTTAATCCTTGATTAGTGTGTATCTTTGAGTGTGAGGCACTTTGAGACATCTAGAAGACCTGAAAAGCGCTATATCAAATGCAAGGATTATTATTGCCTGTAGATGGGCCTTCTGTACAGGTCTGCCTGAAGACCTTACTTACTCTTCAACTGTGCTTACGGCATCTCCTCCTCCCACACCCCCACCCCTCAGCTTGGCGTCGGGCTCTGCCACTGTTAAGACCCTGCGGGAAGGGCGCTATATAAATGCACTTTGTAGTGTGTACCTGTAAAGTAGAGAGCCGATTAAACTGCGCTAATTGTAACTGGGCTCATTATCGATAAACAAATGGGATATGACACAAAAATACAAATTGGCTATAATCCTAATTAAAAAAAATTGTTTCATCAAAACTCACACTGTTGTTATAGTACTACATTGTGCCAAGTCTTATCTCTCTGCCACTCTCTGACTCTAACCCCACACTGTATAAAGCATTTACCTTTGTGCTGCCAGTCAAAAAAAACAGTTGTACATGTGAGCAATAGGTGAGTTGTTAAGTTGTAATCCTCGTAACCTTGTGAGTATTTATATAACTTAAGGCATATATTGAACTGAATTCTATTTTTACTATTGTCTCACAGACCTGCGGGCAGGCTTATACTTGCCATATGGATAACTAGTTTTACTGTACCTCAAATCCTATAGGTGCGTCACAGAATATCTGACCAAGTGATGGCACTAAAAATGAACAAAATGAGCAGCAACAGAGCGAACATGCTTCGAGAGGTGCAACTAATGAATCGGCTTTCTCATCCCAATATTCTCAGGTAATTGAGGTGTGAGTGGTGAAGCCTTTATTGGGTAGTTTTCAAAACACTTGTGCAAATTTCGATTTCTGTGCAAAATTTCCAGGATATAATTAATTATTTTAATGTACTGTCATCTTCAAAAAGTGCAGTTTGGTGGTAAAGAAATGTCCCTTTTTTTCTCTTTTCAGTCTAACAAAATTAATTAAAGAGCTTACACTCCAGGTGTAATTTGAGTAGTCATCAGTGCTGTGCAGGAAATTGATTAATAACCCACTAACTCACATTAATGCCTGATTTTGTATGGAACAAAGATCTTCAGTGGTTTTGTCAAAGATCAAAGTGCTAAAGCTTTGGATCATAATCATTTGGTTTAAAGGAGATGAGAGACTTGTGGTGTTCAAAGCTAACTCTGAATGAATGCTCACATTTATCTAGAACTTTGAGCTATTCTGTCCTCAAAGAAGGGTCAGTAATACATGTGGGAATACTGTCAAGTAGATTGAGGCTGACAATTGATAAGTCGGGTATTTATGCAGATCTCTTGTGAATAAAGTTAAGATTGATTATCAATGCGATTTCCTCTGCTGATTCCAATCCACCTTTTGGAAAAGTACAAACTTGTTTACCATGTAGTCAATGACATCTGCTTATGCATTAGTTTTAAATCCAAGAAATGTTTATTGTGGGAAGACATGGAGCACTAAATCCATGTAACAATAATAACTCAGTGTTCAGAGAACCCAATAATTTACTTAATTATAGTTTTAATTTGCCTTCAATGTGTTTCCGTAATTTTTCTTCCATATGAAGTTGATATATTGTGGTAACAGTGTCTTTGGAAGGAGTTTCCGCTCATCTGTAGGCAATGTAATAGATGGAGGCTGAAAACATTTTTGCTTGAATGGTTAATTATGTCTTGTAGTCTTGGAGATCTCTAGAATCCATTTTCAGGATATTTTTAGCACACAGATGTTTACAATGATGTCAGTTTTTGGCTCTTTTAGTTTTGTTGCATTAAAAATTAACACTTTGTCTTTGTTAAGAGTTGACAAAAGCCTTAAATCTGAGGACGACGAGGCAAATTTCGAAATCCATTGCGTTGTAGTGCCAGTTTCATACAGAAACTGTATTTTTTGGGCTCACTCCAAGTCCATGAGAATGAAGTGCTTTTTCATCTAATCAAAGAACAATTGTAGAAAGGTCATTGCGCATTGTAAAACGAACAAGACAAATATAATGGCTTGATGACATCGTTTCTGCCAGTTAATGTAATCTTTGTGGCTCTAAAGGGCTAGTTACATTTATATCTGATGTCAAGTTGTGAGTTGGTGGGGGGAGGAAGGTGTATGAGAAAGAGACACTATGGAACCAGAGAAGGCAGACACCTTATAAAGAGAGCTTAGCACAGATTGCATCTGCTCATGGCATTTGAGGTTCAATATGCATAAACGTCATTCAGGAAGTAAATACTGGGAGGCGCCTGTTCTTTGTGGATGAAGTAGACCTTGCCAAGAGGAAAATTTAAATAGTATGGGTGGAGGTAAGGATATTTCATATGTTCATCATAAACCAAAGAAAGTAAGAAAGCACAAAACAAACAGGATACTGTTTACATTGACAAATCAGTTGAGTTTAGATCCCCAAAAGTTATACTCAAACTGTACAATGTTGTGGTCAGTCTACATCTGACTAATCAATCCACCATCAGTCAATGCAATTGTTCAGTTGGACATTAAAGATCTCCTGGCACGATTCAAAAAGAGAAGGGAGTTTCTCCCAGTGACCTGGTCAACAATTCTCAAAAAAAATTACATAATTCTTCACTTTATGGCTGCTTGTGGGACATTGCTCTCCACAAATTGGCCTCTGCATCTGCCTACAAAATACACAATCACTCCACTTTACCGTAATTCTTGTGACGAGTTTTGAGATGTCTTGCTGATGTGAAAAGTGCTCTATCAAGTGGAAGTATTATCTTATGTTGTGACTGGTAATTGTCTATGGCCTCATACTTAGTAATCTAATTGATTCATTGTTTTTTCAAAAATGGGTGGTACAGAATGGTACATGTTCTGTGGATTAGCTTTTCAGCTTCTGCCAACATTGAAGCCTCAGTTTAACCTCTAAAGTACAATCAGATTTGACTGCTCAGCAACCACTAGGGTCGATTTAATGATGTAGTTGCCTTTACCAGCTCTGTCTATACTCTTAATAGACAGTGAACCAACCCAAAGGCCTTGCTTAGAAACAACCTCTACTGAGAACTGTTTTCCTATGTTCACTGCTGATATGCTAAACACCTTGCATTCATTCTTTGAGAAAGTATTCAGTGATCATTAAACAGAGAGCATCATTATACGCAAGTAGCTCTTTGTCCCTGTAGAATTGATATCGAACAGATGGGGCCTCAGCATCGATCTATTCCTGTTAACTTAAGAAATGTTTAAACAAATACTGCTATATCAAATGCAAGGATTATTATTATTATTATTATTACTGTGGCTTAGCCACTTCACAAATAACCTGCTCTTAGTTTTGTAAGAAAAAACACTTGCTGTATAATTTACTGTCAGTCAGTGTGAATTGACTATAAGCATGGTCGAAAAGGAAGGTTTTTAGGCAGTACTTGAAAAAGGGGAGAGGGTTGGGCAAGGTGGAGAAATTGAGAGAGAGTGTTCCAGAGTTTTGGGGCGTAGTGGCTAAAAGCTTGACCTCCAATGGTGGAGCGAAGGATGTGAGGGATGAACAGGGGTCCGGTGCCAGTTGACCAGAGGCACCGGGGTGGTGCATTGTGGAATGAGGAAGTCGGAGAGGTAAGGAGATCCCAGGGAGTGAATTGAACACAAGTATGAGGATCTTGAAGTTGATCTGTTCAGGGATGTGGAGCCAGTGGAGCAGGTTTAACACACTAGGCAACAAGGGTACATTATTTTACAAAAAGGCAGAACATGTTTCTATTCTGTTGCTGAATAAATGAAGGTGAATACAATCCAGAATCAATTCATTTTCAAGATGAGGATTGTCATACAAGAAAACCCTGTTACGGCGCTCTTCAGAATAGCACTGCTCGTCTAGTGTGGATCCATGCTAACCAGAAGCACTTCTGGTATTGACAAGCTGGCTTCCCATGCTAAAAATGTCCGACCTCTGAATCGTCAGGTTGCTACTGACTTCATTTCAGTGTGGTCTATTTCTATCCGTCCGATACTGAATAAGCTAGACAACTGTCAGTATTTTTTAGTGAAGGAGGTAATGAACACAGTCAACTAGCTTTACTGGGAGTCTTTTGCACACAACCTCTGAGTAAGTTTAATTCTAATCTCTTGTCTCAACTGAGGCTTGTTAATTTACACCTTTGTATCCACTGGATGTGCAGTTTGCAATGTTGTGTAAAAATACGGATGTATTTTACATGAATTTGGTTTAACCAGAATAATTGCACCATGAGTATCTCGTTTTGAGAGTATCTGACTACAAATTGAAAGAGGTTCGCAGGAGAAGTGATGATGAAGAAGTATTTTGGCCCAATTGATCTCATCCTTCTAGAATACCCACTTTGCCGTCCTTCCATTACAGCATCAAGCTGTTTCTTGAATGAGTCCAGCATCTTGGCTTCAGCCACCCTTCCTGGTAACTTGTTCCAGTCGTTAATTAATACCTGTGTAGAAAATACTTTCTGGTGTCTGTCTTGAAATTCCTCTGTAAATGTGTTCTTGTTCTGTTGCTTTGGATATCTGAAAGTACTTTTTTTTCTCTCATATTGGAGAGACTTAATAATGAAGCCAATCTTTTCCAGTAAAAACTAATTCACCTAATATGAGTCTCTAATAATTTAAGAAGTGTTGGAGGAGCACTATTTTTGTAATGGAATTTTTTTTGGCACCACAATTAAACCTGCCTTAGAGATTTTTTTGATTTTTATGTACCTAAGAGTAAGCTTGGATTTCTGCTGTGATTTTATCTCTGTTGATACCATAAAATGAACACGTTAAACTAGTTTCCATTGGCTGAAACCACATTTTGGATAGAGTCCAGATTGGTCTCTTCTATTTCAGAATCTGGATAATGTTGAATTTCTAGCCAAATTACTTGAGGTTGTGCAAACAGACTTAATGTGAATCAGTGACATAAACTGGGATCAAAGGCTAGGAGGAGAACTTATATTGCAACACATTCTAAATAAGACTGTTTGTTACTTTTGATTGAAATGTCTGAGCTGGTTAAGTTGGTAAACTAAAGACATCAGAGTTGATGTTGTAATTTATTGTACCAATGATCCTAAAATGTATTGTCAACAAATTTGATAATTACTTTCAGTCTCTGTAGTGATATCTGCTGTTTTGAAGGTCTTGGTATCAGGAGGGTAGCATAACATCTGGCTAGCAGAATAGATACTGCATGACACACATTAACCCATTGGGTCTGCACTTGGTATAGCTCATCAGTATAAATGATAATGAATGTGTAAATTGTTGCTATGCCTTTGCTGGAGGTGACAACTGTACTGAAAAGTATAAAGAATGTTTTTTTGTTGATCTAGATGGACTTCTGTTATAAAATGATATATTGCTAGCATGGGAAGAAAATAGCAATTTATGACCCAGGAGCCAAGACAAAAGTAGGATCCTGCTGCAGATTGTCGTGTGACTATCAGTGCCCAGTTGGCCTGTTTCCATTACTGGATTTAAGCCATTTTCACTTTGTGTACTCTAAGCTCTAAGAACTTTGTTTTCCTTTTAGATTGCCTATGCTCCCAAGTATTATATCATTGCAATGCACATTTCACTCAAAATGCTAGATTTTTAACCAAAATGTCTGTGTAGGTCCTAATGTCGTAATGCCACAAACCCTGATCTGAGTTTCATCCAGCTCAGTTATTGTTTTTTTGGGACTGCATACAGTTTCCTGATTTCTATCTTATTCCTTTTGGTTTGGCATAGATGTCTTTCAGAAGACAAAAAGGGCTGACTGTGTTTCAGCTCTATTTTTGGTATTAAAATGCAGAATTGAAATTAGGT